CAAATGTGCAAGATCGGACAAACTAGGTCGCAACAACATACCATACATTGTGGAGTACCCCAAGGATCTAATTTGGGCCCACTACTGTTTCTCCTATATATAAACGATCTACCAAATTGTTTATCGTATACATCTGCGAATATATTCGCAGATGATACTAATATAACAACAAAAGGTTCCAACGTAGAGGACATTCAAACGCGTTAAAATGATGATCTAGAACAGATTCATCAATGGTTATTGGCAAATAAATTGACTTTAAATAAAGATAAAACAGAATACATGATAATTGGTTCGCGACAAAGACTATTAAAGATTGAAACTGATCCTGTAATTGAATTAGGTGAAACAAAAATTAAGCGTGTTAAGTATTCGAAAACGTTAGGCATTATTATAGATGATCAACTTTTGTAGAAAAAACAAGTGGAAACCACTGTATCCAAGGTGTCTAGAGGTATAGGTATGCTGAGACGAATAAAGAGTTGTGCCCCAAAAAGAACATTGATAAATGTTTACAACGCGATAATACTGCCATATTTTGATTACTGTAGCCTTGTTTGGACTAACTGCAGCGAATATCTGCGCGACAAAATGCAGAAAATGCAAAACAGGGCTGCAAGGGTCATCACTGGCAGACCATATGAAATTGCAACTAAAGAGATATTTGAGGAATTAAATTGGCAACCCTTAGCTGATCGATGGGAGAAAAATAAGTTAGTGTTTATGTATAAAGCGAAAAATAGTGAGCTGCCAGAAAGCATGAACCAATTGTTCGAAATCGCTAATAAACAAAGCTACAATTTACGCAGCAACGGTAATGATTTTCTTTTACAAAAGCCAAATACAAATTACATGAAAAAAAGTATCAGTTATAATGGAGCAATAGCGTGGAACAATTTGTCAAATAATGCAAAAGCAACAAATATGACAATTGGCCAATTTAAGGCTGCTCTCGACCGCAAATAATACGTGATTTTCTTCTGTAACTATTTTTCTATATTTGATATTTCCTGCATGTTAACTAAGTTACTTTATATTATTCTGTAAATATCTTTCTATTTGACAACATTTCTTGCATGTTAAATCCTAATTACGTTGTTGTGATGTAAATAATGTATATTTTTAATTTAATATTGTGTAAATATTTTAAACGGCCCCTTGGAAATCAACTACCTAGGTGTGTTGAAGGGTTACCGTTTTTAAATAAGAGTTAATAATAATAATAAATAAATAATAATATCATGCGCTTTTCATTTGTTTGTCAATGACTATTGTTCATTGTTCATTATTTCGTAATGTTTACATATATGGGTATAATTAATTATCACTGATCTCAATATAACTAACGGACCAAAGTCCAATCTCATATAACATTTCTCCTTCCTTTAGTGGAAAACCTCCCGGAGATAGAATGGAAAGTTATTACAATTAAGTTCAATATGATCTTGAGTATCTTGATTTCAAGGTTGGCAGTCTTTCAGTAACCGTACGTTTCTTTGCATGTGCAACCACCGTTGTATTCCACTGTTGAAAACCATTTTGTAACTTTAACTGCAACTGTATCCGTATATTGATCACTAGTACAGATAAATACTCACCTAATTGCAAAGGCGTGTGAAATTTAACTTGAACCAAAGAAGGAAAAAGAACATGGTTGTGTCAGGGAAGGGACAACAACAAAATAACAAAACATAACAAAACACTAACAAAGCCTATATTACATTCGTTTTCTCATCATTCACTTTCAACTTCCCACCTAATGCGACATCTAATTATACTTCACACACAATTATAACGTGTCCGAACGAGGGGTGCATGCGAGGCTAAATAGTTCACAAGCATGAGATTCTGAATATCCTGATCACAAAACAAGTCGTCCCAGAGGTTAAAAACCTAGAGATGGTATCGTACGTTAGTCGTTGTTTTGTTCAAGGTGAACAATGTCAGTCTCTTCTAGCCATGAATTATGCTCAGGGCCATACCCTTCCAACTTAACTAGATATCGGACAAGGTGGTTGTGTTTCCGTAGGTGGTCGCTTTTCACTTGATGGCAATAATTCAAGAGACTGGTTGTCAAAATCGATACCTTGATAACGACAACGGAAGTCATACCCAAGAATTGCATCATAAGCTAAATTTTCTATGATGTATGCATAAAATGTATAGTTGTACTCGCCAATTTGAAAGGGGACTAATGGCACACCTTTGATGGGCATGTTTTCACCACTGACAGTTCTGATAGTTTGTTGAAATGTTTTACTGCTAGGCATTTTCTTGCAATTATGGAATTTGTTAAATAACTTCTCACTAATCGTGGTGACAGATGCTCCAGTGTCGCATAAAAGAGACGTGGGTATACCACTTACTTGACCTTGCAAGAATGGACAATTATTGCGAAACTCAAAAGTAATAGAATTAACAGCATACACAGAGGTTTTTGGAACAGGATATGACAGGCCTTCCAGGTCAGAATTCAAAACAACTACACTTGGTTCATTACTTGTTTGTTTATTAACTTCATATGACAGGTCGACTAGATATCATTACAGACTGGTACATCTATTGTATGAGGTAAGAGACATTGTTCTCTAGCACCAAATTTGACTTGCTGTGGTACATTTACACATGGTGACGCGGTCACCTCAAAACTATCTGTACGCATTTGACTCATTGGGTTTACATTTGTTGTCAATGTATCACCATTTATCTTCGGTAGGCCAGAGGAGTTACTGTTACTCTCCTTACATAATACCCCAAGTGACTTGTCTGCAGGTAAACTAAAATCAATATCTACAAGATCAGAATGTATATTCACACTTGTTTCAACAGGAAATGGGGGGTTGTCAAAATCATTGCTTCCCTATCATCCCGGTATAAAGAAGCAGCCATTAGTTTCCCGATTCCGGATTAAATGGGTTGTTGGCGGTTCACCCTTGTTGAGGATTGAATGTGGGAGCATCAGGATGAATGTTTTAATTAAATTGGGGTTTCTGCACAGACTGGTGTTGCATGCCAGGACGAGTATATGAATTAAACTGAGATGAAAATTGATGTTGCATGCCGGGACGGATGTGAAAATTATGCTGAGAAACTTGTGGGAGCTGATGTTGTATTCCTCCAGCTCTACAGTTACGAGCAATATGGCCAACTTTATTACATTTGTTGCATATGGGTAAGCCATCAGCTGTACGACGGTTACGGTTAGAAGGAACACCAGAACTTGATGGGCGGTTGGTTTGGGTGAGGTATTGAGTTTGTCGCCGCACCTCCTCTCGAACTAATTTTGCTGTGTTGAGTCATGCATTGACCCAGGTGGTGAGGGATGGCGTGAACGGTATTGACCATGGTTGGAATTATGTACTTCATGACCAGGTATCCCAGGTTTCAAATATTTACTATAAGGAGCTATATTTGCTGCTTGGTTTTATAACAAACGTACTTGCAGGGAGGTGAGTCCGGGATTGGACGATTGGGCTAAACAACACACGAGGTGTTTAAATTACGGTATATAGTAATTAGTAAGTGCTTAATAAAATATCTAAAAAATGCATGCTTCAGCGTTATACTGCCAGCAAAACATTTTGATTTCAATTTTATTGTTACTTTAACTTGTAAAACTTCCGAGAAGGTATATTCCGTGGTAAATTTGAACGTGATAGAACAATAGATTTACGATAATCAACAGGCCGCGATAAAAGTGCAACGTCGAGAATTGTAACATTGATTAAAATGTTGTAAATTTGTATAATTTCTATTTAATGAACTGTCAATAAAATTTCAGTTAGCAAGTAAGGTCATTAAGGTGTGTCAAATTGATAGTAATGTATAGTGTCTATAGTGACAAAGTCATAGCCAGAGACTGAATTTGCAGAGACTGAATTTGTTGAAGGTTTTGTCCAGGTTTTAGCACAATTGCGAGAGAAAACTCGCTATTGGCCTACAGGGGAGGTTCGTTGGTCGGTTTTCCCCTCGGCGTATCTTTGCCGTTTGTGTTCTGCCACGTTCTGATATTTTGTAGGCCGAATTAACGAGCGCATCGTGTGTTATATGCTCGGTTTGACCGACCTCTGTCCTTATTAATTGGATCATCCAATCACAACTCACTTTCTCGCTTCTTCACTTCAGCTACGGAAGTTGCAATTTTCATCCAGCTCATGAGAATACTAACGCATTCTCATTATATGTTGTGAAATGCAACCGCACGCGGATGGGAATTAAGTTATGGGAATAAAATCCGCGACTCCCGTTCTCGACCTATCTCCCCTAGCACCCGAGCAAATTTCTTCCCCCTTAATTAACAAAATGATTTTATTTTTACACAACGTCACTTTCTACATAAATTTCCGTCGTTTAAAAGTTTCAAATGTACTATCCCTCCCAAAACTCAGAAGCTAAACGCGACACAAGTTATTACGCCACAACGGAACCGTCCTTGGCCAAATCCCGGACTGCGGCAACTACACACGAGAACACCGCGACCCGTTTTGCGAGTGCTGCAGGACGCGCATAGTGCCGCGCAGTCTCGATCGACCGCCACCCGACGTACTCTGCAATCTCGTCGACAGAAAATCCCAACACTCTCAACGTTGTAGCGATGCCTGTGCGGAAACAGTGCGGCGTCTCGCCAGAATGAATACCCACTGCAAAGAGGTGGGTTCGCAAACGGTTGTTCACCGCAGAACCCGCGAAAGGCTGGTCGGACACTGAGCGTTGCCCGGCAGCTACGCTGAAATGTAACCCGGGCGAAGATCGATTCGCATGTTGTGGCAGTAGTCCAAGTAGTACCCGAACCAAAAGACTGGGCATATGGCAAGCGTAGGCGCCGGCAATAGCGCGAAAGAACGAGAAGAATTCTCCGTGTTGCGAAACGTCTTGCTAAACGTGAAATTTAGGAGGAACCCCGGTTCCCCCGATAACCAAAAAACCGAGCGCGATTCCAGCCGCCCCAAGTCAGATGCACGGTCTCCTGTGAAGAAGTCAACGGCGAAAAAAGCAATATCCCTGACCAAAAGGTACCGTTGAAGAGGCAGGTGTTTGGAATCTCACAATTCAGCATACAAATAACGCAACAACACTTCAAGATTCTGCGGGTGGAAAGGAGTCGCCTGACGCGGAACGACTGTGGCCACACTGCCTGCTCCTCGCACATAAATTTGACATAGCGTTTTACCTCGGGATGAGATGCTGGATTCTCATGGTTGATTCGGCCCAGTGAGGTAAAAATGGCACGCAGCTTCCCTACGTGACTTTTGACTGTTCCTGCTGCCAACCGAGACGGACATGTACACGAGATCCGCAAACAGGACCGCCGGTGAACCACTGTTTTCCCGCCGGTATCAAGACTGATTAGGAACTTAACAACGCCCTCCCCGGTGCATGATGCTATCGTACGTGGCGGATTAATGGCTGCCAGGAAACTGGACATGCGCAGTTCCAAACGGGTCTTCTGTCGCTCGTACGGTTTCGCCCCAAAGGTTGCACGAAAGTGATTGAGTCGTTGATCGATATCTGCAAATGCATAATGGAGTCGAGGAGTCAGGGACACCCTACGTGTCTGGGCTGCACCGCACGCCTGACAAAAAATGGCATCCGAGTCATTGAGGTGACCACATCGACTACAAGGTAATGCTGGCTTCCATACCCGAGACACCTACGAGGAGACGAGTATTATCCCATACAAAATTAAAAAAAAAACACATAAAAAACAAATTCCTGTGGAACAGAATGCGAGAGAGTCGTGCCGATCCAAGGAGACCCAGCTAGCCGAATGAATGTGTTACCACGCCCAGCGGAAGAAATGGAGATCATACTGCAAAGGTCTAGGAACAAAGCCAGCAGACGATGGGAAAAACTGGGAAGAGACTGGATGAATCCCCTTGCTTTCCAAGTAAAAAGAAGTCAATCGCACGTGCCTGTAGAATTGGCCACCAATAACGCCGTGGATGCCATGTCATAGAACATAATGGTGGCAGTGATATGAGGAAGATCCAGGAGCAATCTCAGTACGAGGCCAACCAATACAATCGGGGGGAAAAACGTACAAGTTCAGATTTTGTGGGATCTCTTGGGCAAAAACATGGACGCCTGATGAGTTGGGAGTTGGCCATGGCGTAAAATGCGGTAAAGAGTGTCCGTCGTGGCCCAAAACCGCGTTGCTGTCTAAAGCACTTAGATCGTGTGGACCATACGCACGCTGTACCCTTGACCAAGCATCCGTACTTAACGTACAGTCAGCGTCAGACAACGATCTGGACGGGAGATCTGCAACGTTAGACGAGGATGGAAGAAACTGGAGGGTGAGGTCGAAATTATGCCTGCGCGCGCAATTCACGATCCGCTTAAACACGTCGTTCACCTGCGAATTTTACTCCCCCCCCCCGGTTCTGCCACGCAGCAACGACCACTTGGCTATCGGACCATACATCGACGCGGGCATTCTGTATACGTGGAGCTAGCGAATTGAGAGCCTGTTCTACTGCGACCGCCTCCAAAACATTGATATGAGGTGGATGGGACGAACTGAGACTTCTTAAGGCCAATAAAGTATCCTGCCCGAAGCAAGAAAAAACAAGCAATGTAAGCGGCCGCCTCACTGTGAACATAACTTGGACGTGCTGAATGCAATAAACTGGCAGCTGGCATCAATTGACCAGCGTGACGATCATCAATATATTGGGATATAGGTACGCCCCACGAGCGAATGGCACTGGTTACCACGAGGCCCAACATATGGTAAATTCAATTCAATTCAATTCAAAAGTCTTTTTATTAGATCAAAAGATAAAAATACATATCTTATGTTACAAGTAAATATTAAGAATACATTAGTAAAGTTTACATCATATGAATAGGTTATAGTTAAAAATTAATCTATTTGCAAACGACAATTTAAAACGTTCCGTGTTCACTCTTAGATACTGACTAAACTCTGTCCTCAAAGAGTAGCTTGTGGATTTTTTCTTGGTATCAAGTCGACTATGGCACTCTTCTGATTTACAGAAGCTTTAAAAATATTTCTGTCCTGTATTTCTAAAAGATATCTAATATTTACAGGTTCTGATATATACTTTCGCTTAAAACATCTGTCAAAAAACCGTTGTATAGTACTGAGTTCGGCTGGAGAAGAACCGTAGACGGACAGGCCAAACGTTATAGTAGATATTACTAGGGTCTTAAATAGATCTCACATTGGCTATAGCCTTCTGCCCCTGAGTGTTCGTATAACGTACAAGCATTTGTTTGCTTTGACCAATTTACCTCGCACGTGACTGGTGAACTTGAGATTGTCTTGAAAAATTGTACCTAAAACGGGAAGTTCTCTGCATTGGGGTATATTATAAACATTAGTTCAAATTTGTGCGGATTTCTATTGTTCTCAGTCGGGTTTTATTTGGGTAAGATTCTTAAAGCAAGGGGAGGGAGTTGATATCTCTCCAGAGAAAAGTGGGGTTGATGAATAGAATTGAATTAATAATTATAAATTCACGGGTTTTATCTATATAAACCCCGGATTTTTGCGGGTTCTATATATATAAAACCCGCAAAAATCAGGTTTTATATACTTAGATAAAACCTGGTGAATATTTAATCATCAATTCAATTGAATTCTATTCATCAACCCCCCTTTTCCCTATAGAGATGTCAAATTCCCTCCACTTGCTTTTAGATTCTTACCCAAATAAACCCCTATTGAAAACAAATTTAGAATCTTTGCTTCGACAAACCCATACACATATTGTTCGTTATAGCGCTTCTACCTTCGGCCCACTCTTTCCAAATACGATCGAACTGCCCAGATGGTGTTGTGTCTTGTGCCTACAGTATATTCGGTATACGCTCAATACGCGTTTTTCAAGACCCTTTGTTTATCTCTGTCTAGTTTGAGCACTGCAAATCCCAATGGTTCGTCATTTGCTTGCAAAAATTCTCTTTCCATAAGCCTACATTTTCATCTGATTCCGGTTGCCTGGAAGCATTTTTTTTCGTCGCTACATAGGTAGTTCACGTTTCAATCTCATTTTCATATGGACCCCATGGTAACAATCGTTATTCTCTTAATTCAATGCAAGTATTTTCGACAAAAAAGTAGATTTAATTGTTTTTCAATCCTTACAAATTTGAACTAAGTCAGTTAATTACCTCGAACGTCGGTTTCTTAGCGAGATACATCCCTCGGGAGCGTTGCCCTCAGAAAGCATCCTCATTTCTTCGGGACACGCCCCTCGGGTTGTATCTCGCTAAGAAACCTCGTTCTCGGTAATTAACTCTTACCTGTTGAGTTAATCATTATATCCCTTCTTCCGGATGATAAGCTCTTTACATTTACCAGGGTTACAAGTCGTAAAATTATCGTCAGACCAGCTCAGGAATTGTCCAGCTGTATCTGTTGATGTATCAGGACCGTCACTCCAAACTCATGGCACTATTATATTTGAATCGTCCGCATATGTAAAAAGAGCGTTCTCGCCGTCTATGTCCACCTCTAAATCATTTAGAAAAATATTAAAAAGGTAGGGGCCACTTATGCTCCCCTGTGTTGTACCCTTATTAACATCCATCCATTCTCCACAAAAATCGTTACAAACGACTCTTTGCTTTCTATTCTTTAGAAGATTTAAATACCAATTTATGATATAAGGGTTAAGTGGCACATTTTTCAACTTTTCCGAGAGGAGTGAATGTTTCACGGAGTCGAAAGCCTTGCTAAAATCCATAGAGAACAGTCTAACTGCTTTGCAGTCCGCTCTATTTAAGAAGCTGAGTACTTTGTTCTGAATAGTCAACAGAGCGTTTGTACAACTTCCCCCCTGCTTGTACGCAAATTGCGTTGGGGATAAAATTTCCTCAACTATCGACTTGACCTGACTATTATAAACGAGCTTTTCGAAGGTCCTCGCAATTACAGGTGTAATATTTTTTCCACGAAAGTCACCATCTTCCTTTGGTAAATCAACCTTTGCAAGAGGGTTAATATTCGCTCTTTTCCATGAATCTGGCCAAGTATGGGATGAAAGGGACAAATTCCAGACGTTAGTTATAACTTCGGTTAGAATTTCCGCATGATCATTCCAAACCCAATAGGGAATAATCGGGACCTGTTGCTGTCCTCTTTATTCTTTTCAAGGCATTCCATACCTGCTGTTCCGTGAAGCTAGGAATATCTACTTCATCACCAATAATTGAGAGCGTCGGTTCGACATAACTATCATCGTGGCAGAGTTCGCCAAAGTAGCGATTTAATCTTGTAAGTGATGCATTATCTAAAGTAACACTTGATGACGATGCATTTCGCTGAGAAATATCATTCGTCTTTCTCCACCAAGTTCTACTTCCCACCAAGGCCCTAAAATTTCTTCTGTTTAGACAAATGACATCAGAAATCCTTTTGTTAATTAAACTGAGTCTATCCTTTTGCGACCGAGCAATTCTGGATTTAACTTTTAGCAAAGATTTAATTAAAGGACTCATCCAGTAAGGGTCACGTGACGAAATTGAGACTGTTTTTGTGGGCATACATTTATTCATATGATCCATGATCTTACGTTCAAGACAATTCACAGCGTCATTTACATTCGTGGACTGCGATACATCCTCCCAATTTTCTTCTGCTAAAGCTTTGTGGAAATCTTCCTTTCGATGCTTTCTACAATCCCGAAATTCAACCTTTCGGCGCATAGGTTTTAGTTTCGTTCCTGCTGGTAAAATAACCCCCATGTGGTCTGTTTTAGTTAACATATGGAAAGGATAACATTTTGAGAACAAATCTATTCTATTTGTAAGGCAGTTATCCAAACATGCGTTACCCCTTGTTGAAAAGTCGACCATTGCATCCCATCCTGATAGTTCCTCAAGGTGTTTTATGTCCAAACTGTTCAAATCCCCTCCACAAACAATTACAGTGTCTGGATATTTGTCCAGAACGTCGTCAGAAATATTTATCAAATAATCCAATAAGTCGCTCTCCAGGTAATTGTGCCTAGGTGGGTGATAAAGGCCATATATCGACATGCGGTTTCCTGTAGGTAACAGAAGTGTGACACCAATAAGTTCGTACAAACTGGATCGATAAATATCAACAACTTTTTAAGTTGTTCCGAACATATATTGCTCCCCCCCCCTTTTGCTCTCATATCGCGTCCTTCCCAACTTCTATCTCTTCTAAATATTGAATAATTGTGAATGGTCACCACAGCATCTGGCATTTCAGGTTTCAGGTGACTCTCGCTCACCACACATACATCTATATCGTTATTTACCAAGTCTGCCTCCAGTGCAACTACAGCTCGTACTCGATTTTTTGTTTTTGCCAGACTACATATATTGATAAACATAAACTTAGGAACAGCAAAACCCAACTCTCTCGAAGGAACTTTTCTTGTGGATGTTAAATTAATGGGTACCAAGTTACTTCGTCTCTTTGAGTTAATATTTGAAGTATTATTAGAATTACAGTGGTGGTAATTTTGTCTCTGTGTAATTCTAACAGAAATAACTAAGTTCTTTTTCTTATCATCCCATGGACAAATTCTAGGTAATTCAACCAATCTTTCTGATTTTGTTGTGGGTGACGGTTTGGCTGGAAATTTTGATATGACTGGAAATTCTGATGGGGTCGATGATTCTGATGGGACCGGTAATTTTGATCGTATCGAAGGTTTGGGTAAGGGGGGTGATTTGGGTGAGGCCGATGATTTAAACGGCGCCGTCGAAAATTTGTCAGGTGATCGGAATGGAGTGATGTCTTATGGTTCCCTTGATGCTTGGGAAATTCACTCACAGCATCCAGTGGAATCCGATCGGTGATTTTAGTTATGCTACGTTGGGATTGAGTATTAATTTGTCGTTTTGCATAATAGCCATGCTTGCATCGCTTCGAGTAAACCCTCTTCGTATTGGGAAGCTTACTTTGTTTATTTTTCTGCATATTTGATGATCGTAACTCAATTAGTGGCAAGTTTCCCAAACACATAGGTAGCGTCGTTTTGGTTTTACACCGTCTAATTGGTTGACCTTGTGGTGTACCTTCTACGGTATTGCAGTTTGATTTAAAATTCTCACATTAATAATCACGAACACTATTAGAATTGTTATTGACTTTACTCTGTAGTCTGTAGTTTATCACTTTGATGCCTATGTGATAAACAAAACTGTTCATCCTGTAGAAGAACTGATTTATTACAGGGGTTTTCAATGATTTCGTTTTGTTTACTAATTATATGAGTATTTGATTGTTCTCTGTTCGCGATGGTTGACCGCTCATCTGTTATATTTTGTATATTTTGCATGTTAATCATTTGACTATGAATTTGCTCAATCGCTTTTACTGTTCTGGTATATAATATTGGAGAGTAGCTCGACTCCGTTGTTACGGCATCTAACTTCACACCTTCGAGTTCAGTAGATAATTCGTTACACTTCCTCATATTTTCGCCGATATCCCTAGCAGAAATCGACTGGGCATTTGAACCAGACGCATTTTTTCCTAACATGCAATTTCCACAGGAAACTGAGGTTTCCTTTATCAATCTACTTATAGAATTGTAAACATTGTTTGTTAAATCAAACAGACGATTAATTTTCTGGAGAGCATCTCTCAATTCTTCAAACAAATTATCACAATTCTGGTTTTGTGTTTGAGAGGCACAATCCTGTGTTATACATGTAAGAGTATTATTACTTTGATCGATTTCGATGCACTGCTTCTGTCCGTTGGTCTGGCTAGCAAAGGAAGGCTGGCAAACACTATTTACTTCAGTTATTGAGTCGGAATTGTGGGAACTGACACCGTCACAGACATTAGTTATAGAAGTTGTGCATACCTTTAAGTTGTCTTGAAATTCGTCAAATGTGCTCGACATACACGCCTTAATCAAGCATTCCTTTACCAAATAGCCAGCCTTTCCACGGAATAGTAAAGAACTCAATTTTCCAGGATACCATGTGCATGATAAATCAAAGTTAAAGCTATCAAACTTTTTTTGAATTGCCCCCTGGCGACGACCATTTACCTCGCTGGGCAAAAGCATGTTCGATACATTTCTTCAGCGATTCGTGATCAGCAGACCATCTAATTCGTTCGCCATCGTAATATATCATTTCGCAAGTTTTATATCTGTAAATTTCTTTCACATCCCAAACGGTGGTCATTATATTTTCATCTTGGTCGGAGCTCATACAAACAGAAACCGCCGCCATGTGTTTCCGCTGAGCTCTATGTATGTCAACTGGTGAAGCACTGTGCACAAAAAAACACATTAACTGATCAAATTGGTTTTGGCCATCTTATCTCAAAGCACGAAATGTTCTGTTTTGAGAAAACAGTATTTAAAACATTTAAACTTTTGATTGAATATCTTATATTTCAATAAACAATATAAACTGTACGGTCTAAATTTAGGTTGCACTGTCTAAATTTAGTTTGCACGAAAGTTGTAAACAACACCATATTCCATATTTGGAAAAACGAACGTTACGGGACAGATATTCAAAATTGTATATCATCAGTGCAGGCAAGATATATATCGACGCGAACAAGCACATTTTGGCGGAAATACGCGAGATAAGATCGGAAGTCGAAAGCCTAAAACGCTAGCAAGCCAGTCAAAATAGTGGGAATGGGAAAGAGGATCGTATACAGGTCGGGGGCCGACGAAGTCATCGCGATATCGCGGGAGAGGCTGTGATCGGAGCGTGCAAAAAACGCGGACTCGGTGACAGCTGTAGACACTATTTCGCCAGTGGGGAATACGGTCACATTGCTTCTGAATGCGAAAAGAACAAGCCCGGAACCCAGGGAAACGAGAGACGGCTATCCCGGACATGGGACAGGGCTTAGCCGAAGAAACGAAAGCGTCCCATCTGTGCAACGGTTGCGGTAAACGTCTAGAACAGTGCAAGGTTTTGTGGCGTTGTTCATGTTGCAAACTCGTGGTTTATTGCGGTATTAAGGACTGCCAGAAAGCACACTGGCCAGAACATAAAATATTATGCAACGCCATAAAACACGAAATTGAACAGAATACAAATTACACAAGTCCAGGTATCTTCGTTAGCCATTGTATAGTATTCGTACGTGACGGACGTGTATTTGGTTGCTCCTCAATTCAAATATTTTGTAATATAATCCCACGTTATCTTGTTGTAATTATTATCAAACAAATGGGAGACCTTCAGCTGTGCTGGATGGGAGATTTTAAACAACTGAAGCAGTTTATAAACGAAAATAT